AAAAAAGCCCTGAAAGAGTGGGCTGCAACCTTAATGGAATTACTGCGATGCTGCCTCTCTATCACCCACCAAAGAGCAGTTAACATCACAGAGAGACAGAGGGAGTGGATGGATGAAGACGGAGAGAGAGGGAGCGGCACTGTAAAAGGTTATTTCCCAACATGATGAAATCAAATCGGAAATTTAGTGCTGCTCTCTAATGCCTGTAAACCTCACGCCCTCCCCAGCCCAGTCCAGGAAACACGGCGAGGTTAACAGGGTTGGCTGTTGTTTTTGCTGTTTCCCTAGCTAGGATTAAACCTCCCCCCTCCTCTACACGCACGCCCCACTTTGCTCAAGTGGCTGCCTCCCTAAGAGCCTCTCTCCGCTCTTCATTTCCATAAATCCGCCGAATGTCCCTTTTCCCCCCCGCTTTCTCTCGCGTGCTCCGCCGCTCGCCTGTTGTTGTCCGGCTGAGAGCTTCATTCACTTTGCCCGAAAGAGAGAGAGGTTTGTGTGCGTGTTGTGTGTTTGTGTGCGAGTGTGGAGAGCGAACGAAGCAGAGAGACAGAAAAATCCTTGAATGTGTTATTTGCTTTTAGCACTGTCTGCACAATGTTCCTCTCCCCATCCATTTTCCAGGCAATTTAAAGTGCGGTATTACACACTGTATTTTTCCTCCTGCTCTCCCAGAATCCCCTTACCCTAATGGAAGCAAAACATTACAATAATGTCCTCGCTCCTTAAACCCAGCACTCGCAGCCTAAGCACTTTCAGGCCCCGATCGCTCTTTCCCTCTGTTACACTGTCTTTCCTCCCACACACACTTTCTCTCTCACTGCCTCTCTTTCTGTCTTGGCCTTCATCTCTTCGCTGCACACACACACACACACACACACACACACACTCACTATTATTGCTCTCTTTCTCTGTTATCTCCCCCACACACCGAGAAACACAAACACATGCATGTGTGCGCACACAGCCATCATGCAGTGAACCATCTCCTCATATTTTCTCCTGCTCTCTTAGCAGAAACAAGGAATTAAACAAGTGTCAACTTGCACTTTTCCAACTCTATCCTTTTCCCTAAACCCCAAACTCGCTAAAGAGTCGGCGCCCATTCAGCAAAGCGGATCGCTATCACGGTTTAGTCGATCCATTTACGCCCTAATCTGCAATCCCCCGACCGCACGCGCTCGTTTCCGCACCCACGCAAGCTCTCTTTTCCCTGAATGGCCGCCCGGCGACCTTTCCACATTGGCGGTGGATCGGGAGACCTTTCTGTGGGTTTAAAAACCAACGGCGCAGCTTGAAAGAGCGAAGCCCAGGCGAGGATCTCTCCAAATGTCAGTTTGAATGGTGCGGGCGAGTTTGGGCCTGCGAGGCTCCGACACATCTATTGACAAAACGGTTTAGAAAAACACAGTAGCTGCGGTCAAATCGCCGGCTATTCTGTGAAGAGTCGAGCAAACGGTCGGCTCTTTTCAACCCTGCGCACAGACTCGGCTGCGTGCGTCTTTCAGAACATGCATACACTTGACCCTCTGCTTCTGCCCGTGCTAAACGTCTCTGAGCCTGCCGCTTTCTTTGTGCGCCGTCTAACACCTGCACCGCCGTATTACTCCACAGAGTGTATCTGCGAGTAACAGGAGCCAGCGCCGAGGTAAAAGATTAGGGTCGTTATCAGAACACGGCTCTTTTTACACGAGGGAATTGAATAAATGTCCCACTTTGTTGACTTACACAACCGCTCCAGACCAATCCTGCGCCGGTTCTGCTGCTTTCATGCCTGTTTTTGTGTTTCAGGGTTCAACGTGCAGAGGAACCAGGCTGCCTCTCAGTTTGC